ATCATGATCATGATGATTAGTTATAGTCTATTGGCTAGGATTTTGTTGAGAATTTTTGCATCAATAGTCATTGGTGACATTGGTCTGAAGCTGTCTTTTATAGTTGGGTCTTTTCCTGGTTTTGGTATCAGGGTGATGTTTGCTTCATAGAATGTGTTGGGGAAGATTCCTTCCTCCTCATTTTTTGGGAATAATTTCTGCAGTATAGGAATAAGCTCTTCTTTGAAGATTTGATAGAATTCTGATGTGAAGTCATCTGGACCAGGGCATTTTTTTGTTGGGAGATTTTTTATTGTTTCTTTGATCTCAGTGCTTGAAATTGGCCTGTTCAGGAGATCTATTTCTTCCTGGATAAGTCTAGGGGGAGGGTGTGATTCCAAATATTGATCCATTTCCTTCACACTGTCAAATTCTCAGCATAGAGTTTCTGGTAATATTCAGAGATGATCTCTTGTATCTCTGTGGCATCAGTTGTTATTTCCCCTTTATCATTTCTGATTGAGGTTATTAGAGATTTTACTTTTTTCTTTCCAGTTAGTCTGACCAAAGGTTTATCCATTTTATTTATTTTTTCAAAAAACCAACTCCTTGTTTCATTAATTTTCTGAATGATTCTTTTGTTTTCAATTTCATTAATCTCTGATTTAATTTTGGATATTTCTTTTCTTCTGCTGTGTTTAGACTTAGATCGTTCTTCTTTTTCCAATTCCATAAGATGGCTTGTGAGTTTGTTGATGTGCTCTCTTTCTGTTTTTCGAATGTAGGTTTCTAAAGTGATAAATTTTTCTCTCAGGACTGCTTCTGCAGTATCCTATAGGTTTTGGTAGCTGTGTCTTTACTGTTGTTATGCTCAAGGAAATTAATGATTTCCTTTTTTATTTCTTCCTGCACCCATCTGTCATTCAGCATTAGGTTGTTTAATTTCCATGCCTTTGTGTGGGGTTGAATATTTTTGTTGGAGTTGAGTTCCACCTTTAGTGGCTTGTGGTCTGAGAAGATACAAGGTGAAATTTTAATTCTTTTGATTCTGTTGAGGTTTATTTTGTGTCCTAGGATGTGATCAATATTGTAGTATGGGCCAATGAGAAGAATGTATATGCTTTGTCATTAGGATGAAGTGTTTGATATACGTCTATCAAGCACAGTTGTTCTAGGGTCTCAGTTAAGTCCCTTGTATCTTTGTTTAATTTCTGTTTAGAGGATCTGTCTGCTCTGTGAGAGGAGTGTTAAAGTCCCCTGCTTTATGGTGTTATGGAGTATCATATTGCTCTGACTAAGTAAGGTCTGTTTTAAGAATCTGGGAGCAGGGTGCATAAATATATAGAATTGAAATGTCTTCTTGTTGTATTTTTCCCTTGACTAATATGAAGTGACCATCTTTGTCTATTTTGACTTTAGTTGCTTTAAGTCCACAAGTATCCAAAAATAAGATTGCAATCTTTCTTTTCTTCTAGATTCTGTTTGCCTGAAAAATTGTCTTCCAACCCTTAACTCTAAGCTTTAATTTGTCTTTTGGGACTAAGTGTATTTCCTGAAAACAGCAAATGGATGGCTTGTAGTTTTTAATCCAATCAGCCAGTCTGTACCTCTTCAGTGGGGAGTTCAAGCCATTAACATTTATTGAAATAATTGATAAGTGTGGTAACATTCTATTCATCTTATTTTGTAAAAATCCATTGCTTAGTTTTGTCTTTTTGCATCATTGTGAAAGCTAGGTTCTGTCCTTTAATTTCTGGGTGAAGACTGGTATCTTTACCCAGAAATTAAGACTTTATGAAGACTGGCATCACAATTGCAATAACAACTGATAGAAATAAATGCGACTTAATTAAACTGGAAAGCTTCTGTACAGCTAAGGAGACAACAACCAAAGCAAATAGATGATCTATGCATTGGGAAAGGATATTTGCATATTTTGAATCAGACAAAAGCTTAACAACTAGGATCTACAGAGAACTTAAATTTAAAAAAGCCAATAATCCCATATTTCCATGGGGAAGGGAGATGAACAGAACCTTCTCTCAAGAAGACAGATGAATGGCTAGCAAACATGAAAAAATGTTCATAATCCCTAATTATTAGAGGAATGCAAATCAAAACAACACTGAGATATCCCCTAACCCCAGTGAGAATGGCCCACATCACAAAATCTCAAAACTGCACATGTTGGCATGGATATGGTGGGAAAGGAACACTTTTACACTGCTGGTGGGACTGCAAACTAATACAACCTTTTTGGAAGGAAGTATGGAGAATCCTCAAAGAACTCAAGCTAGATCTCCCATTTGATCCTGCAATCCCATTACTGGGCATCTATCCAGAAGGAAAAAAAAATCCTTTTATCATAAGGACACTTGCACTAGACTGTTTATTGCAGCTCAATTTACAATCACCAAAATGTGGAAACAGCCTAAATGCCCCCCAACCCAGGAATGGATTAACAAGCTGTGGTACATGTATACCATGGAATACTATTCAGCCATTAAAAAAATGCAGACTTTACAGCCTTTGTATTAACATGGATGGAAGTGGAACACATTATTCTTAGTAAAACATCATAAGAATGGAGAAGCATGAATCCTATGCATTCAATCTTGATTTGATGACAACTAATGACAATTAATTACACAGTGGGGGTGGGCGAAGGGGAGAGTAGATAGAGAGGAGGAAGGCGGGTGGGGGAAAGGAAGAGTAGAAAGAGAGAAGGAGGGAAGGGGGTGGGATCTTAGTGTGTGACACATCTTGTACCCTCAATGAATCTCCCACAATAGTGTTTTCAGAAAAAAAAAGATAATGAAAAGAGATATAGAATATACTAAAATAAATAAATAAATAAACAACAGATCTATTACTCCTCTCTGCTCAGACCCTGGAGTGTGATTATCTAGTTTGTTAGGAAATGTTATTTTAAAAATCTACTTGGAAAAGTTTCTGTTATTGTAGCACTGTCAAATCTATATATTAAAGAATAGATTTAAGTGGCAATGCAGCCAAAGAACACATTTTCCAGACTCCCTTGTAGCTAGGAATAAATGTGTATCCAAGATTTTGCCCACATAGATAATTAAAATTATGGGGCAGAGTCTCTGGGATAACTCCTTAAAAAGGTGGGATGACTCAGTGGCAGGTACCTTCTGCTCTTCCCTTTCCTGCATCCTACCCAGAACAAGGATGTGATGGTTGTGGTGGAGGCAGCCACATTGTGCCTCTGAGGCAAGCCTGAGGATGGAAGCCAGACAGGAGAGCAGCACAGCAGAATAAGTACAGGAGCTCCAGCACCTGGCCTGCACTCCCTCCTTTGAACTTTCCTTCTTTTAATGTTAAAATAAATCACTACTTGTTTTTATTTTTGAGCACTATATGTAGCCCAATATATTTCCTAACTGAAATACATATATACATGCTTATCAAGAGGCCTCAACACTGAAGTGTGAGGCAGGAACCACCAAATACTTAAACTAAAAAGGAAACTCAATAACAAGGGATTGATCCCAACTGTACTAACAAATTCCAGCTCAGAGACTGCAGTTAAAATAATGGAGAAGAAAACATTCCAAACCAAATTAGCAGTTTCAGTGACTAGAGAGGTGCTTTGTTGTGACCTAGGGGACTAATTTGAGAGCTACAAATTGAGCAAAGTCTTTAGGCAAGTATTTCTGAAAAATCATTTCTTAAAGAAATGTAGCCTCTGGGCTAAACAGTGAAATGGAAATGGTGGCACAGAGAGAGACAGAGTTCAAGGGAGCTCTCTTTGATTTTAGGAACACCAGAGCTTCAGGGAATGAGTGAAATCATTGGAGCATTATTCTCATTATTACTAATGGTTCTTAATAACTAAGGGGCAACGCTGGGTCCACAGTTGGCTGAAATGACCAGAAATTGCTCTTGCAGTTATGCTTATAATGAAATATAATTTGACACTAAATTACAATTCTAGATATACAGCTTTCTGGACTGTCTCTTATTGCAAAGGCCAACTAAGCCACAAGATCAATAAATAGAATAATCCAATTAAGTATCTTTCTATTTGGGAACTATTTAGAATTGAGAGTTTCACAAGATAGTGAGATAGGGCAAAATGATTCAGTATTTACTGATTCAAAAAATCAGGGCTTTCTAGTCTAAGGCAAATATGTTTTGATATTTTAAAATAATTGTTCAATCAATCTGAACGGCTTGGGTCATTTATGTAGTAATTTTAATCACTACAAATTCTTCCTAGTTTTCTGTCATAATTTCCCATGAGTACATTTACCTGTACTTTAATATTAAAAATAAGCACCTTGCACAAGGTGAGGGTGTTCAGCACACCCCCTGAGTAAAGAGCTCAACTATAACTTGAACTTTACCTTAGAAATGAAAACAATGTGACCTAAACATTTGAATAATCATATCAATCTGAAATTTTAAAAAGACACCTTTCTCATACTCAGAGTGGCTTTATAAACATATTTCCAATTTTTTTCACCATATGCAATAATATTGTATCAGCAAGGAATTATAAATACAGGAAGATGGATTGATGAAAATGTCTTTTTTTTAGCTATATTTAGGTGGAAAAGTGATAGCTAAATTCCCTCAATATAACCTGGTCCATATTGCTGTTAACACACTTTGCAGGATTTTGTCAAAGAGGGATGTTCCCTCCACTGGAAAGAGAATGATAATTGCCTGCAGATGCAGCAATACATGGGGAGAGAGCTGTACAAGCTGAAGCCACCCCACGGATCCAGAGGGCGTGCTGATGTGGGCTACATCCTGCAGGCTGGATTTCTGTAGGGAAAGTACTGGCATATGTAGTCCTCAAATCAAGGTGTGATAAAATTCTCTAGGAAAAATCCCCACTTTTGGATTGGGAGCATTCTGTATCATTCTTTGGCAAGAACGCCTTTGGTGATTTTCACCTGCTATGGAAACATGTACGCACAGATGGCCTCTATGGTACTGACCCCTTGGGGTACGGTTAAGACAATACTAAAGGACATTTAGAAGATACTTACTGCTGGTGGAGGACAGGTGGCTGTAGTCAGACCTGAAACACAAGACCTCAGTGTTAGTAGGACTCTTTATCAAATGATGTATTCAAGTCAGAATTTTAAATTCAGATTACATAGCATTCAACCAGTGAAGAAATGTCAGAAATTAAAAACTATAGTGCTGAGGCTCATTTTGTGCAAAATAAAATTATATCTGACTTTGAAAGCAAAACTTCAAAGTTTGATGTTTTAGAAACCTGGGGTCCTTCCCATGAGCTCTGTGAATCCCCCTCAGAGGGTTTCAGGAGGTCCTGAGCCATCTAAATTTGCTGGTGAATGGTTGTTTATTTTTCTGGGAAGAAGGTCCACAGTTTTCAATAGATTCATGACTCACAGATTCACTCAAAAGGTTAAACCAGTGCAAATGAACAGCCTTCACATGTTCCCACCACACCATGGGGAAATACTTCTTTGCCAACATAAGCAGAGGACCCCAGAGCAGGGTGAGAGGACCTTGGCCATGAAGGCTTTCCCACTCAGGGAAACATCATGAGACACAAAGTTACAATGATGTTTGGACTGATTTCAGTTCCGTCTGAGCAGAAGGCCTGTGGGGCATTATAGTAGCAGGATGAGGGCTATGATGGGAAAGGGAAAAGGCAAGTTTAAGGTTGGGGTGAAGTTGCCCTTTCAGTCTCTGTGCTGAAAAACTAGCTGCTGGCACTTGGCCTCTGTGAGAATAGGCAAAGACCCGCTTAATCTCTACTGAGTTTCTGCCCTTCTATGTGGCTCTTAGGAATTCCCTCTCCAACAACAAATATGGTAAGGAAGCTATTCATTTTCTGCTCCTAGTGTCCCAAAGTAATTCTCAGTGAGAAATTAATCACTTAAGCACGTAGGGATTTATTTTGCTGTGGTAGTTAAGGGATGTGGTTATGCAAATAAACTGCTTAATTATGTTTAATTTTATAGATATACACTCCTTTATTTCCTTAGTCATCTGTTGCCTCTCTTGAATCATCCAATTTTCACTGCCTCGAGTTTACCACATTAAAAGCTATATACAAAACTTCAAAAAATAAATCACAAGAAACAAGCCTCTTTTTTTTTTTTTTGCTGTTTTTGGCCTGGGCAGGGTTTGAACCCGCCACCTCCGGCATATGGGGCTGGCGCCCTACTCATTGAGCCACAGGTGCCCCCCAAAACAAGCCTCTTACTACTTAAAATAACCCACATCACTCATAAGGATGCAGTAATTTATTGGTAGGGAACAAAATGGAAGAAAAACAGCATGTGGTTCTCTTTTTCAAGTGAAACACTTTAGCAGTCATGGAATCATGGAATTTTAAAACTGGTAAGAATAACAACTACTTGCATATCTCTTTATATAGTACAAACTGCATTCACATATACCCAGTTCAATTTTTAATTTTATTGATTAGGACACTAAAGTGATAGTACCTGTAAGGGGGGCTTGGACTAAGCATGCAGGTAGCAAAGAACAGTCAGACAGTAGAAGGGTTGGCAGGACACAGTGACACCTTGGCTAAGGATGAAGACAAAGAGTGAAGGCTCAGTACTGTCCTGAAACCCAGGATTTGTAACCCCAGTACTGGTGAATGAAATGCTTTGCGGAGCCAGTCAGGACACAGACCTCAGAACAACACTTAGCAACGTAACGACACACACATACATGCAGTGAGTGTGCGGTGAACACCCCCTGTGTGGGCCCAGCAGGAATCCGATTCCATGATAACCTGGCCATCTTAAGATCATCAGACTTCAAAGAAATGTCATGATGATTTAAATATAACATACAATAAGAACATGTGATATTGCCATTTCTTTTATTCATAAAGTGTGTCAGTATTTCAGCTAGGGTTTTCCACAGGCTCCTAAAGCAGACAGGATTCACACATGCACACATTTTAAAGATCTGCATACAGATGGATATGTATGGAGAATAAAATTTACATTTGAGACATAGATCAGGAATCTTAAAGTGCATGGGTATTTCTGTGTTTTAGGACAGGTGTTATCATAACTAGTGGCCCTGCATGAGTCTGTCCCTTAGCATCTCCAGAGACCAAAGGCACTGCCAGGTCAGGCCTGCCAACTGGCCAGTCTTCTGATAGCCACACTCGTCCTGTTCCAGTTCCTTCCCCACACAGCAGCTAATCTTTGAAAGCACAAATCTAACCATGTCTCTCTCTGGATGAAATTCAAGCTCTCTAGTGTAAAACACAAACTCCTTTTTCCAGGATGGATGGCCCAGCTCTGCAGCCCAACTTCTATCCTTGTCTACTGTCAAAACAGAAATCTCATAGAGGAAAGTCTCCTGGAGTCTCCTTGGTTTGTATAATTTGTACGCGTCTCGGCCATGGTAGAGATACAATCATGAACTGCTCTTTTCACTTACATGATCACAACATGCTGCTCCCCAGCCCCTGTGATTCTCATCTTAGACGCTGGGCTGTAACTTACTCAACTAGCTCCCTTCTGTTGGCCTTATAATTATTCCTGGTCTTCCACTTATACAAAGCACACCACGAGGAGATATTTATGAATACATCCTTACATTTATTTTCTTTATGAAAATTATAGTAAGGGACAACATAGAATGAGTCAAAGTATGAATGCTTTTATAAGTCTTAAAATGCATATATTCCACATAACCTCCAAAGATTATTTACTGAAAATACTGCCAGTGAAAGGCAAGCTGTAAAGCTTCAGACAATTTCAGAGAACCACCAGGCATTTGATTCCGGTTCTCTGGAGAAGTTTGTACTTCTCAACTTTTTAGAGTGGGAAGGAACTGCGGTATATTACCTGCTTATTGGTTTCAGAGAAAAGAGTTTACCCAATGGCTCTCTATAAGACGTTCAACCCTGCCAGAAGGAAGCAGGAGAGGTGGATTTAGAAAGGAACATTTATGGGCACAAGATATAGATGGGCAGAATAATACAAGGATTATGTACTGCCACACACATGACACATACAGAGACACATTTCCGAATATATTTTTTTAATATTTATGCCAATAATGAACAGAAAGTTAGACGTGGTCCCTTGACTATATTTTAATTGTATGGTTATATAGAAGGCTCTGTGTTTAGATAGTATATCATGGTCCAAGGCCCACCTGTCAACTGATATACAGTATATATAAAAAGAATTTCTTCCTAAATTCTCTTTTCCAGGAAAATTGTGGCATAAGGATTGATCTTGATGTTTCCATAAAACACCAGTTCAGTGATCTTGAGCCTCATCAGATAACTCTCAGTGCACTGATTAAATGCCATGGTAGTTTAGATTTAACTAGTCCCACCTTGAACACAAAGATAACAGGGTACTAACAGATCATTTGGTCTTCTGTACAAGATTTTCCCTTTTGCCTTTTTTCAGGAACCTGTCTCATTTCAAAATTTTTTCTACATATCCTCTTTGATCTATCTTTTAAACTGCAGATCTGTGAACTGCTCATTATCTCTTAAGAAACAATGAAATGCCAATTGGAGGTTACCCAAAGACCAGGACACGATGTGGCCTTCCGTGTTCAGAAGCTCAGTGACAGCTGACACGGAAGCAGAAGCCCATTACTGCCAGACCAAACTACTGAGTGAAAATAATCTAAATGCATTTGAAAGAGAGGCTTAGAGGCCAAATCTTGGCGACATCACTAATAAAGCAGTCATTATAAAAAAAAGCTGTGGATTTTGTTTGGGTGTGTAGGGAACTGCCTGTCCCTCTATTAAGGGATTCTGTTTCTTAAGATAGTTTGAGCATTCGCAGCTAACTTGCCAGTTTTTTCTAACAGAAAGTACGAGACTTGCTTGGTGAAGCACAAGACTTGCTTTCAAGTGGATTTGGAAAATGGGAGTTTCAAGATGATACTGATTGCCGGAGAAGAATACTAGTTCGATTTTAGTCTTCAGTCTTCTATCACATTAGGTGGGTTAGACAGCAGAGGCAGCATTTTAGGGAAAAGAAAATGTCTGAGCAGAAAATTAGAATTAATTATAGGGTGGTGCCCATAGCTCACTGGGTGGGGTGCCAGCCACATACACCTAGGCTGGCAGGTTCGAACCTGGCCCAGGCCAGCTAAAACAATGACAACTGCAACAACAACAACAAAATAGCCAGGCTTTGTGGCAGTGCCTGTAGTCCCAGCTACTCGGGAGGCTGAGGCAAGAGAATCGCTTTAGCCCAGGAGTTGGAGGTTGTTGTGAGCTGGGACTACATGGTACCCTACACAGGGTGACAGCTTGAGACTCTGTTTCAAAAAAACAAAATTATAGATTAAAAAAAAGCATTAATTACAAATCAAACAACTTTTTGAGCAGTAACTTCACCAGGTGGGAAGCCCAGTCTTCAATTCATGACACTAATAAGCCCTGAGCCTTGCCAGTCTCCATTTCCTCATCTGTAAAACAGTAATTATAATGCTGAGGCATGCTCTGTAGTCTCTTGGATGTTGGTGACCAAATTGCTTAAGGTGTTTGAAAGCAACAGAGCATCTACTGTGATGAGTTTGAAGAATATATGGCATTTTCATTACATAAAACTTAAGCTTATCATGTTTAGTATCCTTCACAACAATAATAGTATGGTGAGAAATAATAATGTGCTAAGCCAGTGGTTCTCAACCTTCCTAATGCCATGAACCTTTAATACAGTCCAAAGGGATTGTGACCCACAGGTTGAGAACCACTGTGCTAAGGGCTGACTTATGCCAGGCCCTGTTCTTGGGGTTTTATATACAGAGGGTGCCAAAGAAAGTGTATATACTTTAAGAAAGGAAAACACTGTATTAAAATTGCAGTATCAAGTCACCATTGACTTCTGCAAGGCATCGCATACCAGTACAAGATAACAGACTCTATTGATACATGTTGAGTATTACAATTTTTTTTTTTTTTATTGAATGGTAACTGTGTACATTGATGCACTTTGGGGGTACAGTGTGGTGTTTTCATACACAATCCAAGACACTTCCATCAAACTGGTTAACATAGCCTTCATGTAATTTTCTTAGTTATTATGTCAAAACATTCATATTCTACTCATAGAAAGATTCACTTGTACCCTTGCAAGATGAACCACAGAAGAGTATTACAATTTAACACAGTTTTTCCTTTCTTAAAATATGTATACATTTTTTTTTTTGCTCCCTCTGTATATAGACTCATTTGCTCCTCACAAACATGAGGTAGGTACTATTATCATCATCCCTATTTTACAGAGGAGGAAACGGAGGGCTGAGACAGGGTAAGCCACTATCTCAAGGTTCCACACTCCCTAAGTGGAGAAGCCAGAACTTGAATACCAGCAGCCTGGCTCTTGTGACAGTAACATTCAAAGTGACCAGCACAGCCTGCCCACTGGCAGTGGGACCCCACAAAGTTTCTTGAAACCTTTTCTTCTATCATGTTACTGAAAAAATGATTAATAATCAACTTAAGCAATGCCCTAAGATCCCTTGCCCCTATGTTGTATTCACACGACCATGACCAACCACCAGTCCCCCTTACCCCAGACCTTGGTGATCCAACTACTCACTATCTCAGCCTGGCCCCACCTAGGTAGCTGGGGCACTGCAGCAGGACAGTAAACAGGAGAGACTTCTACCTCCATGAACACTGACTACTCATGCCAGCTGAGTAGTTCCTCAACATTGTCCCAAACAACTATTTCAAATACCCATGCGTCTCAGGTCATGGAGGGAGCTGCATTTTCACCACAGAGTGGAAACCCCATCTTCCCTTCCCTTGCTCTAGCTGTGGGGGGGGGGGAGGTTCCCGTCTCCTACCTAGAGCCATCCATCCATGTGTTGTTGGAAGTCCATCTGCCTGCACCCTGTCAGAGAACTGACACTACAGATGACCATCTTTTCTCCAATATCTTTGTGCTTTTTTACAGAATTCTTTCTATGGGCATTGACTGTTCAAAAGGTACCCATTGTTAAGAAATCCTTACCTCATCCCACTCTCCTCTCCAGCTATGGTCCCTCCCTACTCCCCCCTTGTCCTGACTTAGGAACCTCGCCATCTCCTCTTTCTTCCGCTCCTTTCCAGAGCTACCCTAATCTGGCTCCTGCCTCCACCACCCTACTATCTAATACGGCTCTACCTTTCATTAATTATCCCCACTTAACAAACGACACTTCACACTCCTCGTCTTCATTTGCTTCTCAGTAACACAGTTGGCCTCTCCTTCCTTTCTCAAAGACTTAACATCACTTGGCTTTTATGACACACCCTCTTCCTTCTTTTACTCCACGCCCACACTTTCTCTGGCTCTTTTATCAGCTCATCCTTTACAACATTTAAATGTTGTAGTTTTCAAGCCTGGTCCTAAAGAGCACCTGTTGCATAGGGTTGGTAAAGGATTCAATGAGTCAGTGAAATGTGTAAAGGCTTAAGGACAGTACAAGGCACATGAAATGCTAGGTGTTTGCTATTACCTTTGGTTGATTTAATCCCTCCCAGGGCTTCAGTCATCATTTTGGGGCAGATAGTTCCAAAATGCAATGTCATCATGCAGACCTCCTCTCTGAGTTCCAGACATATATACCCAACTGACGACTCAGCATCTTCACTCAGCTATCTCACAAGACTTCAGACATAATGTGTTGAAAATGAAATGTCTCATACCCTACCCAAATTGGTTTGGAAGAGATCACAGCTACTTTAAGAATCAGATTTTTTAAAAAAATTCTCTTCTCAGAAAAATTCACAAAGCACATCATTTTGCATATAATTTGGAGCAATTCATGGATCCCAAATTAAGGATCACTGCCTTAGTAGATGTGTCACTGGACTTAAGTCTTGAAAGAAGAGCAGGGTTTCACCTGGTGGACAGTGATGCTGAGTAGGAAGGGCACAGCCGGCAAAGAGGGCAGCTTGACAAAGGCAAGTAATAGACACGCCTGCCTGACATGGCTCAGTGCAGGGTGTGAAGAGGGGCCTGCAGACACACAAAGCCAGAGAGAGGAGGAAAGACTGCAAAACATTAGGACTTGAGAGACATGTTAAAGTCTTTGTGCTTTACAGATGACAGAACCATACAAATTCCAGAGGAGCAAGACATAATCAGATTTGCATTTTAAAAATAATATAAGAATAACAGATATTGAGTGTTTTCTACACAATTTTTATACATAATCTCAACAGACAGCTCTATGAAAGTTGGATGGGGGGGCAAGTTCCAGAGAAGTAGGCTATGAACAGCTGTTTTTGATAACTAAAATTCAAGAGATATTTGAATATATGGCAAGAGTATATATTACAAGAGTAATATGTACATGTTACCAATTTTATTTAAATGCATGGACATGCATTTTACCTTTATCTTTAGCTTAAGGATCCTAGTGATACAATAAAGAATTCTGCAAATAATTCTGTCAGTTACAACTACATATTTCAGTGACAGAGGCAGAAAACAGAGCTCTGGTGTCAGCAGATCTGTGAGCCCCTCCCAGGAGCCCTGGCAGCTGTCATGCTGATGTCCAGATCTTGGAGCCTTGTCATCCCCTGGTCAGGACTTCTCTCTTCTCTAAGACCGAGCCCTTGGAAAAAAATATGTTGTGGGCGTGCTCAGTAAATTGAAAATGAATGGACTAGGGAACATTTTATTCAACCCAGCTATAAATGAGCTGGTTAATTTTTCTTTGTTTCTTCTATTCATGGTCCAGCTAATTTAGAGGCAGGAAAAAAAAAAAGCCAAGGATTTTCAGATAAAGTTGATAAATACCACTTATACATTATGTGGGGAAAAGCAAGGGAGTTCAGTATTTAGAATTAGGGTGCTCCACCAGATTATAATTGGATGCTGGATGGAACCCAGAATGATTCCAAGTTTGGACAACAGAGAAAGCCCACTGCTGGGTAAGCGCACTTGCAGGGGTGTCCAACCTTTTTTCTTCTCTGCCTCAAATTGGGAGTATAAGAGTTCCCTTGGGCCACTCATTAAATCCATAAACACTAAGGAACGCTAATGAGCAAAAATAAAATAAAATACAATATAAATCCATGCATACTTTTCAGGATAGCCAACATCACAGATAAGCAAAATAGCCCTCAAATAATCAGCATGCGGCCGGAGGGAAATAAGCTGGACCCTGCTGCTAGGAAATAAAGTCCTGGATTCTTGCTACGAGTAGTGATGGAGACTGCAGGAAAGGGTGGGGTTGAGAGGGGGGAGGAGCTGTATCGGGAGGCTTTCCCGGGGTCAGAATAAACTCTCAGTCCATTCTGAGCCTGGATTCTCAACCTGCCCTCAAAGGGTTGCCAAATCCTGAGATTAGCCTGAAACCTCGCCGACCTTCCAGGAATGAGGCTTTCTGTAGTCCGGGCAACTCCCGAGCAGCTCCCGCCCTCCGCCAGGATTACTCCAGATAGGAAAAGACACCTTTTCCTCTAGGGTCAATACACCCTACCCGCATCCTGGACGCCGCGCTGACTCTGCACAGGAAAATCCTCTAGAGATAGGAGCTTTTCTCCTACAAGACATTCTGTTGTTTGTCCCATGTAGGAAAACAGTATTGTTGGGAGAGAGCTAATTAGTCTCCAAAGGTTTGGCTCATTGTTTGAGTCCGCTGAAGCGGAGACATTTCTTTAAACAAGCAGGGCTAGATCACAGCACCAGTTCCACCCCGCCCAGACCGAAAGCGAGCGGCTGGGACAGGTGCACTCAGAGAGGAAGTTGGGCGGAACTGAAGGAGTCGCGGAGGGGGTCTGAGCAGCACAGAAGAAAGTCCCACAATAAAACCATAAATGAGGAAAGCCAACCTCTTAGCCGACTTCTGAAAGACTTGCAGGTGCCGGGTGTCCCACCCTGATATGCCCCCTCTCCGCATCTCCAGGAGGCTACGGAGCTACAAGAGAAAGTCCGCGCGGAAGGTCAAAACAAGTGCCAGAGCATCCCTGGTTTCTCTAACGAAGATAAGGGGACAATCGCATGTGCCCAGCACGCCACATCGCCTCGCGGGAGATCGATGGCAGGGGCTGGGGGTGAGACCATGCGGCACCTCGAGCCCTTCCACTTTGTTCCCAGGGCGGGGCCCGCCCGGCCCGGCTCGGAGCAGCTAGGACCGAGCGGCTCTGACCCCGGGGCCTGCCCCGGAGGGAACGCCACCCCCGACCTGGGCTTCCCGCGGGAGAGGGGGCACGCAGGCGGGGAGTTCCCGCGCCGGGTCGCGCCACTGAGGCTCTGGCTCTGTCGCGGGATGAGGAGGCTCCCCGGCCCGAGAGAAGCCTCCGCGCAACTCCGAGGGCGCCTCCCGCCCGCGTCCCGGCCCCGCACAGCTCACCCTCCGGTCTCGGCGCCCGAGTCCACGCAGTCCTCCTCGTCGCCGCCGCCGCCGGCCTTCAGATCCATGGCGCGCGTCTCGGCCGCGCTCGGCTCGCGGGCGCTGGCGTGACCCGGGGCGCGCTCCCTCCCGGCGCCCAGCCGGAGCTGGCCGGGCTCCCTCCGAGCGGGGGGTCCGGCAGCCGACAGGCGGGCGGACAACTCCGGCTCCGCGAGGAACTCTCGCCGCGCCCTCTCCCGGCGGCGCCCGGCGGCGCCCGGCGGGACACCCGGGGCCGCGCCCGCCCCGCCCCGCCCCTCGACGCCCGGGAGGGCCCGTGCGCGCGCACCAGGGCACCGGGTGCGCGCTCGGGTGGGCGCGTGGGCGCGATATGTGAGGTCTCGAGAGCGCGGCCGCGTGTGCTCAGAGCCGCCCCGCTCCCTGGGCCGGGCGTCCGGAGTCCGCGGACTGCCCCAAACCTCCCCGGTCCCTGGGCCGTCTGCAGCACCCAGAAAACCTGGGGCCATCGGGAAAGCAGGGAGCGGCCTGTTCTCTCCAGGGTTCAGCTCCAACACCTGTGTATTTTCTTGTAGTTTCTTCATAATCATCGACACCGACTTCATTATCACCCTTCTCAGCACAGGTCTGAGAGGATTGCACCGCCCAACTTGCCAGCTTGCAGTAGGTGTCTGGCATTCTTTTGCTATTTTAAAAACAAATACCGTACGTACCTGCAATTCAGGAGTTGTCGCAGCGGTGGGTGTTTGTAAAGTGTCGGGATGAGGCCGGGGTCTTACCTCCTTTTAAGAGCGTGAGGCCGCCCGCGAGCTGGGGGGAACTGAATAACCTGGATGTAATCCCCACAGCCCTGTCCGAGCCACTGGAAGGCACTGTTTCTACTTTCTTTTCTTTTAAGGCAACTTACTATATTTAAACTCTTTGAGTCCTAATTTCCTCATCTGAAGGTTGGGGTTATTTTTCACCCCTATATTTCAGTGGTGAATTAAATGATATCATGTATGTAAAATACTTAGCAATGAGGCCTGACACCTGCCGAGCGCTGGTCACAGGCAGCCATCCTCACCAGTTACACATACGCCCTTTCTCAATTTGCAAAGCAGCGTCACTCTGGATGACAAGTGATACCTTGAAGAGGAATATAGTTTCTTTTCTTTCTCCCTCTCTTTTCCCCTTCTGTTTTTCCTTCCTGGTTACCTACCTATAAATCACTCCTTTTTAATTTTTAATTTGAATAAATTACATAAAAGAGAAATCCAATTCACAAACAATAGAAATGCAGTTGCATCATCAAGAAAAAACATAGGCAAATATGCCTGTGCTAGCTCTGAATTGTCCTTAGCCCCACATTCCTTGTGCTCAAATCAGAAGTGAACATATTATACTCAACTGGTGCTCATGAGCTGAAAGAAAGATATACACCAGTTCTTTAAGGGAGACTTCCCCTCATGCATTGATTTCTAAAAGACAGTTCTCCATCTGGGTGGAAAACATTGTGAGCAATGAACCACTCAGTGTTAATAATTTATTGATTCATTTCAATAACTATTTAAGTACCAAATAGGAGAGTGAACTCTGGATATTCAAGTGAGGGAGATTAGCAACAGATAAGACCCCTGCCCTCATGAAGTATGCACTCCAGAGGCTAGCAAGAATAGTTAAACAATTTGCATGTGTTTATATATATTAAAATCTGTATAAAATACCCACTATGAAGAAAGAGAACGCTGTTCCCAGAGAAAGAAAGAGAACATAATATAAATTGTGAGTCAGCAGAGAAAACTCTCTCAGGAAGGGATATTTGAGCCCTCTTCTGCCTCAAGGCCTTTGCACTTTCTGTCCCACCCTGTCCACATACCCCCCACCTCCCCACCCTGGAATACTTTTCTCCTAGACTTTCTATAAGACTCCTATGTTTCCCTCAGTTCTCTGTTCAAATGGCTCTCATCAGGGAGCCCTTCCTGACTAATCCTATGTTTCAGAATCCTCTTATCCGACTCTATTTCTTAAAGCTCCACCAGCAGCTGGCAGATGATAGATTTATCTACCAATGACCTGTTCTTCTCTCCCATCCTCCCCCCTCCCATACACGCATGCATGCCAGCTCCATGAGAGCAGGACCTTGTGTGTTTTGCTCACTGCTGTAACCCCAACCCCTGGACAGTCCCTAGGGCAATGAATGTGAGCAGGGCGAATGAAGGGGAAGCAGCCTTCGAGTGGGGTGGGGGTGAGGAGGGGTGAGGAGGGGCGACGAGGAGAGAGAATCCAAGTGTGGGGACGAGCAGGCACTGAGTATTCCTTTGGGAGTGAAGGTGATGGGAGCCATGTAAATGGCAAAGATGCTAGTGAGATATTTGACATAAATGTGACACCTTGAAGAAGTCAGCCACAGGCCATTATAATGTATTTGGAAAGTAGAAGAACAAATACAGTGTCAGTGGATCCAGCTAAAGGGGGTGATAAAGGTGGCGGAGTAGGTAGGGATAATGAACGTTCTCCCATTTTTTATCCTTACAGCCATGCGGGAACCTGCCTTTGTCTATTATGTGTAGGGACAATTCAAATGTGCACCTCATTTAATCCTCTGGAAAACTCTGTGAAGTAGGTTTATTTTTCCATTTTAGAGTGGAGGAAACTGAGCCCCACTGAGTAGAAGTATCTAATCCCAAGTTGCTCGGGGAAGGGAGAAGCCAGATGGTCCACTTAATGTGGGTGGAGTCCATGTCATCCACTTGGGTGGGCCAGTAGTATTCTCAGGAAGATGGCACTAAGAAAAAGGCCAGGGAGGAAAGGCTGGAATCAGCATAGTCCTTAGGAGAAGTGCCTTGAAACATGAGACACCCTTTAAATTATTTTGGACTTCCTCAAATATCTAAAGAAGGGTCAGACCAGACCAAAACCCTGGGTTGCATCTCAAAATGATACATTGATTCAGGTTCCCCTCATCCAGGAAAGACACAAGTGTTATCATTCATCATTAGCATAACTGTCTGACGGCAACTCCGTGATGCATTTGCCATCAGAAAGAGACACTTGAACAGAATCACTGTATTCCAGTTATGTGTGGACTCCCACACTCTATTTTCCAGCTCTTTGACGTCAGTTACTTATATGTTGATGGTGCAATGCCCTTCTCCCTCACCCCTGTAAGATGGGGACAGAGGGGTGTCACTGGTTTGCTTAGGGTACCCTGCCTGTGACCCTAAAGGTGTTCCTATCAGAGCTTGAGAGTCAGTGAGATATGGGAAGAAGTGTAACCTGCCAAGAAACGTGAAACCTGACTTCTGGATCTGAATCCATCATGTACTAGTTGTTTAAGCTCTTCCTAGAGGAAAAGGGCAGAGGCCTTTAACTGTCTTTACTACATGTCAGGCATTGTGGCAAGGTTTTGATTTATTTATTTCTCACAAAAAAATATGTATGGCTTTTATTGTCTTGAAATGGGGCTGTTGATGTGACTCTCACGGGAGACCAAAACCTTTTAGAAAGTATAAGACATATCAATACAAGTTGCTGGCCTAATGGAGCTTTCTAGGTAGGGAGAGGGCAGTTTATCATGGTCGATGGCTGATGGGCATGCCTGGCATTCCCACCAAGCCTAGCCTTCCTCAGAGTCCCACCAGGCACCTGCCAGGTGCATGGTGCCATCAGCCACTAGAATAGGATGGAATGTCAAAACCCTTTCGTGGAGGAAAAGCCTCAAAATAATCTGATGGTAAATAAAGAGCACCACATTTGCTGAGGAAAGAGATGGATTAGTAACGAAGAAGGCCAAAAGTAACTGGGAGGGGGCCAAAAAGGAGGAGATAAGTAGCTTTAAGATAAGAACTTTAGAGCAAGAGACTCAGAACAGATAAAAATCTCTACAACAGGGGATTTGCCTGGATTTGGGTTTCAAGTTAGAGGGAGGCTAGGCTACTGTTGTTACATGAATTGATACTATTTGCTACAGGTCTGATTTAATCTAATCTAACCTTTTAAGTAAAATACTCATTTAGGTTATCTAGTAGCAAATAAAACTGGAAAATGCATGTACCTATGTTGGTCTGGGAAGTTCTGTTCATTGGTATTTATTTATTTATTTGTTTATTAAACACACACACACATATTTACTTCCCAGAAACAAAAATTTTAGGTTAAAGAGATGAAAAAAAAAAAAAAAAGAAGAAGCTCTTTCTTCCAAGTCTAGAAGAGCTTGTCTGACACCAAAAATAAATATTATGATCATGACCAAAGAAATTATAAACTATTGACAAATCTCCTTAGACAAAGCCACTAGCGCAACACACAAACATAAGGGGACCAGATGGCAAAAGGAGAAGTGAAATCAAAGGTAAACTGTTGAGCTGGAAAATAATCTCATTAAAATATAAAGGACCCTGCTTTGACAAGGTAGAGCAGTGATAGCCATCCTGATGTAGAACCTTTCCAAGAACTCTCAGCCTTTAGTTTATGGGGATAAAATCTGGAGTCCACTGTGAACCCCCAACTGGTGGGCTGGTGGGTGGAAAATCAGACAGGAATGTGAGAAACTTCTGGAAAAGTACTGTGGAAATTTAAGAACACAAGGGAAATTCTAGACTCAGGGCGCTGCCCTCCTGGCCCCTGTGAGGATAAACGTTCCTTCTGGGAATTGTGGCTGGGTCACTTATTTATCTTTCTAACAACCTAGGTTCGGACAGAGGTGTGGTCCTCTGTCCTCTCCTCATTCCTCAGACTGTCCTTCAGTGGCGTGGTCTTTCCCAGCTTAAACTGCCTGTGTTGGCCTGTTTGGGCTGCCATAGCACAGTGTGTGGCTTAAACAACAGACACAGACTTTCCCACAGTTCTAGTGGCTGGAAGCCCAAGATCAAGAAGTAAGCGTGTCCAGTATCTCAGAGGTCTCTCTGCCTGGTTTGCAGGTGGCTGCCCTCTCCCTGGGTGTGCACATTCTGGGGTCTATTCATATGCCCACGTTTCTTCTTATAAAGACACTAGTCAGATTAGGTTAGGACTCACACATATGCCCTCATTCTAACTTAATCTTTCCTTTAATGATTCCATCCATTGTAAATACAGTCACATTTTGAGG